ACACACACACACATACACACACGTACATGTATATATGTGTTGCTACTATCTTTTGTGCATATCCTTGTGTACAAACAGGGTCCTGGTTGTTGTATGCATGCTGCCAGATTCCTGGCCTGTACGAAGAGGCTCAGCGATGCTTCCCACCTTCAGAGGAAGGAGGATCTTCGGGTTCTGAGGGTTTAGGGTTTAGGGTTTAGGGTTTAGGGTTTAGGGCTCAGACTTGGAGATGAGGGTTTTTTCGGGTTTTGCGAGATAGGCCGTCAGGAAACTAGTGAACTATGCCGAGTCGCCGACGTATTTCTCGTACTCTTGGGGACGACCCTCGTGCACGTCCATACTGCCAAAAATCATACGACCGACCCTTTACCTCCTCCCACGCCTCTAGATTCAACATCTGCACGACCGGATGACAATACCAGACAAACCAAGGGCCAAGGCGGTCAAGGACTGTCCTACTAGCAGCATTCCAAAGAACGATATCCTTTCTGGATAAAATGAATGAAGCTTGGCAATCCAATGCAATGCAACGAACTCTGCCAGGCCTCGCTGTAACAGCTAACCCCAGAACCTAAACCCAAATTCCGAAAGCTAACCTTCAGCAGTTTGGAGATGGCCCCATCAAGACTCCGAACCCCAAACCCTAAGTCCCAAACTCTGAACCCTAAACCGAAACCGCCCGAAACCCAAAACCCTGAACCACAAACTCTGAATCCTAAACCGGAGCCCTGGAGCCCTCTTTGGCCCTGTCCGGGGCAGCGGCTGGCGCAGACGGCCAGCCTCCTTCATCCGTCTCGTCAGCGACCTGAGCGAATAAGAAAAATGCCAGACAGTATGTAATGTGCAATCCAATCCCTGTATGTGTGAGAGAGAAGAAACAGAGAGGGAGAGGGATAGAGATAGAGAGAGAAAGAGAGGAAAGATAAAAAAGAGAGAGATAGAGAGAAAAAACAGAAAGAGAGAAAAAGAGAGCGAAAGAGATAAAGACAAGAAAGAGAGAGACAGAGAGACAGAGAGAGACAGGAGAGACACAGGGAGAGAGAGAGAGAGATAGAGAGAGAGAGAGAGCGAGACAGGGAGAGACAGAGAGAGACAGCGAGAGACAGCGAGAGAGACAGAGAGAGAGAGGAAGACAGAGAGACAAAGAGACAGAGGCAGAGAGACAGAGAGACAGTGAAACAGTGAGACAGAGAGAGACAGGGCGGGTGGGCGGGCGGATAGGGTTGGATAGGTCAGTAGATAGGCAACTTGTGCCCCAAGGAGGGGGGTGACGAAAGCTCGCTGCTCGAGGGCCCAGGCGCAGGCTGCGGAGCAGCAAGCACGCGGCCGCCCGGCACAGGCATCATGAGCATCATTGGGGTCACGTTTCTCCAGAAACGCCTCTCTCCTGACCTCATCCGTGCCGTCACGATGGGACCCGCGACGAATCCTGCCATAGCATGGGTATTCCCTCGAAAATCCCATCCCCGGAGGGAGCTTTCGTAAATAGATCAATAAGCAAATAGACTTTTGGATAGATAACAACAGATGTGATCGGCACTAGCATCAGTCGGATAAGAAAGCAATGCCTATTTACGTGTCTCTCTCTCTATATATATATATATATATATATACATATACATATATACATATAGACATCTAGACATATACAGATATACACATATCTATATATATATATATACATATACATATATATATATATTGTATATATGTATATATGTATATGTTCGTAACTCACCTATATATATATATATACATACATATAGATATATATATATATATATACATACATACATACATACATACATACATACATACATATAGATTTATATATTTGTCTATTTAGTTAGTTCTAGTTAGTAAGTTATTCATTTATTTAAAGATAACTGTTTTTATGTTTAGACTTATACTTAAGATACATATATATATATATATACACCGCTATCTATTTACCTAGTGTTATATTCATATGTACATTTATTATCCATATTGTACGTATATCAAGATTTATTTTCATATTCTTGCTTAGGTTTGTACTCTGTTGTCATGTATATCTAAATCTACATTTATGTTCACATGTATACTTGCAGTTTTTAGTCTGTAGTAATATCTTTATTTTTGTTTCTATTATATGTGCAGTTCTACTTCTATTTCTTTTCTATCTTGTTTGTATTTATACTCATGCTTAGTACTTTTATATAGTCTACGTACATATGTAACTACATATATTGTTTAATTATTTAGTACTTATCTATCGACTTAATTTTGTCTTTAATGTACATATGCCGGGATTTCATGGATCCCTCGCTTCTGAAAGGCCCGGGCGATGGGTTGCTTCTCCGGATTCACTTCCGGCGCACAGGTGGCTTCGCAAGACCCCGGGTTTAGGGTTTAGGGCTTAGGGTTTTCGCAAGACGCCGGGCTTGCAAGACATCTCCCGGGAACTCCCCGAAACAGAACCCAAGCCCCGAAACCGAAAACTCCAAAGCCCAAGTAAACCCCAAACCCTGAAACCTAAAACTCTAAAACCCTAATTATAATCCCCCAAAACAAAGCGTGAAACCCCAGATGCTGAAGCCTGAACTCCAAGCCGAAGCCCGGAAACCCTAAAGGGCCCTGGCCGCAGCGCCATCGGTGCACCAAAACATGCTGTCTGGGCAGTCAGCCGCCAAACCTCCGGGTCACAGGGTTTTATTCCCACGGCTTTAGAGCTTAAGGATAAAAGTTCTCTTGGGATTTACGGTTTTGGGGGCTTAGGGGTTTAAAGTTGAAGATTTAAGGGTTTGGGACCTTTGTAGCCTTGGGGGCTTTTGGTTTTAGGCAGCGCAACAAGATCGGATCTTTCTCCAAGAGCGGCCGAGTGTGCGCGGCCGACTGTCGAGAAAGTATCAAGTACTGAGTACTGTTCCAAGAACCAGCACGAGCAGGCCGCACAGGTTGTAGAAGCAGGATGATGATGCACCTGAAGGCTCCTGCCCCCGCGTTCATGAGCTTCTGATATCTTCCAGCTACTCGTCGCTGCTTGATGCAGTGCACTCTGGGCCGAGGAGGACGAAAGCGGATGACGGCTTTCTCGAGCAAGGCCAGGTGTGGCAGCAGGGAGTGCAAGATGCCGGCCAGCAGCATCCGACATGAGGGCTTGGAAGTGAGTGTGGCGGCTAACCCTTTAGCCATCGTCCAGAAGCAGGTGGTGCGCATATCGCCGCACAGCACGGTCCAGATAGTACAACACTGCATCATAGCCTCAGTACTTCATGCTCGAACACTCCTAAGAGCTGACACCTCAAGAATGTAAGGCTGCGGCTTAAGTACTTTTCTGCAGCTTGCCTGGCTGTAGCTGCTATGGAGGCAGCTGCCTCATCATTCCTGCCAGGTACTAACATGCAGTGATGCCCGAAGCACAATACAACTTCAAAATGCTCTAGTAATGACAACAGTATTGATACTCGCAGCACCAATTTCGGTACTAGCGCTGATGCTGGCACGAATAGCAAACAATGACACTATCTTCTGACACTATTCGGCAGAACCGCAGTCAAGACCGAAGACTAAAAAGCAGTAGTTATAATGTGAACAGCAGTAACACACACCAAGAATGATGATCATGCTAACCTGCAATATACTCGCAGCCACAGCATCGGTACAAACGTTAGTGATAATGAAACTAGTACCACTGATAGCTTTTTAAACCCACTGGCCTCTGCAACCAGTCCAGATTCTCAACCAAGTCCTGGTCACATCCGGCAAAGCAGCTGAAAAGACCGGGAACCCGGACAAAAAGGAACGGTGCTATTCTGCATCGTTATAAGACTAGCATCTACGGGCGGAAGTTACTCTACCACTGTATACCACTGTACACCCTAACCCTAAACCCTAAACCCTAAGCCCTAAACCCTAAAGCCTAAACCTTAACCCGTGGAGTCCTCGAGGTCATAGCGCACGGGGACGTAGTGCTGAAAGGGCTTCCTAAGTGCCTGTTAAGCATGAAGTTCCTGAACCTCAATGTTAAAACAAAAAAGAGCTTTCACCAGCTACGCTCCGTATTAAACTCTAAAAACAACCATACAAAAAACTATGCAAAAAAAACGCGCTTCAGGAAAAGCAAAAAACCTCTGAACAGGAACCCAGTTTCAGCAGGCCACGGCGACTTTGGTTCCGCAGGTCCACGAGCAGCCAGGCGACCTGAGAGCTTTCCTCGGCTGGCTTTCATGTAGGGGCCCAAATAATTAAGAATACTATTTTGGGGCTCCTTTTTATAATTACGAATACTATTTTGGGGTTCCTTATTATAATTAAGAATACTATTTCGGGGTTCCTTATTCTACATTTATATATATATATACTATACAGGAACCCAAGACCCTATTCTAGTTATGAAGGCCCCTGCATTCTCTGGGTTTTAGAATTTGGGTTTGGGCCGTGTTTAGGGTTTGGGGGCTTAAGATTAGGGTTCAGCGTTTCAGGGTTGAGCGTTTGCAGTTTCAGGGTTTAGGGTTAAGGATTGCAGGGTTTAGGGTTGACGGTGTTCTGACTTTGGGACTCTATGGCTTTAGGACTTGGGGCGTATTGTTTGCACGGCTGAATTATATTCTACTTTGGCAGATGGACACAGGAAAAGGCGAGCCCTTCATAGAAACTTTTGAAGGAAACCTTATAGAACCCATTAGACCTGCAGTACCCAATAAGGACCCTATTTTTAGAACCCATGAGAACCCTATAGTACCCTTTAAAGAAACCTTATAACTAACCCTAAACCCTAAACCCTACTAAAGCCCTCAACCCTACTCAGGCCCTAAACCCTAGCTCCCTTTTAAAGTACAGAACTCCGGAGCCCAGTCGCATGGTTGAAAACGACCTGTCCGGTATGCAGCTGCCAGTATATTCGGTCGCTGTTTCCGGTGCCTTCTTAGGGCTTTTTGGGGGTCCAATATACTATAATTTTAATAAGGAACCCCAAAAAATAATATTGGTAGTTATCTAGGCCCCTACGTTAAGCCTTCAGGGTTTCGGGGATTTGGGGAATAAGGCTGAGGGCTGTGCCTTCGACGTTCATACCATACTTGTACTTCATCTGCTCCATGCTGCTCACAGGCTCAGAGGTCATGTCCATCCTTTCGAAGTATTCCCATAGGGCCGGCTCCATGGCATGAGAGATGCCGGTCCACTTGGCGTCGATGCCCTCCACGTACTGGGAGAGAAGAACCAGAGCACCACGGGGAGTAGCAAACCAATTCGAAAAATTCCACACAAGTTCGAAGCGGTCATCCCAGAGGCCCAGGATCTCAGCGTCCAAACCAGCGAGACAAGCACTCCAGGGCATGGATCCATCTGAGACCCTCTTCATGGAACAGGGCCGGTTCACCCAGTTCGAGTTCGTCCCTCTCCACAGGAGCCTTGCAGTTCGATCCTCCCAGGGGAACTTCACCATGGCCTTTCTGAAGCCGGCCGTTGCTTTCCGGCTCTGCCAGGGGTGCAGCTGCCATTCGAAGGGCAGTAGTATGTAAAGACCACGAGGCTCCTGTGGACGGCAGCGTGTAAAGATAGGCACCGGCCAGTCCCCGAAATCGTTCTCTGTTGGGCTGATGAAAAGATCCAGGTCTGGCAAGGGAAGGTGCGTGTTCAGTATCCGGAGACCTATCTCCACAGCTCTGACGTAGGAGCAGTCGTTTGCGGAGTCTCGGGAGGATTGGCACTGCCGCCAGTCGCAGCCGATCATCTCCCGCCCATGATCTCCTGCCACTCGAAGAAGCTGCCCCTACAGTAACCCTCCAGGTACCTACTATATAGGGCCCTAGGGGCTCTGGGGGGTTAGGGTGCCAGCTCAGCTGCTCTTAAACGGTTGTGCACGGAAGGGCTGTGAGAAGGCTACCAAGTCTCAGGGGTTTCGAAGCAACAAATCGCAGCACGCCTACGAGGTACAACGCACGCCCCCTCAACCCTAACCCTAAACCCTAAACCCTCAACCCTAAACCCTCAACTTTAAATCCTGAACTCAAAGCCCGAAAGAGATTAGGGAAAGAAGATCAGGATCTGCATATCCTCATTCAACGCGATGCGAAGCATTGCAACTATCACTCTCGTTGCTACTGTTATCTATATACATAATATACTATATTATCTTGTATTATATTACATTATATCATTATATATATACACATGAAAGTCATACAGAGTAACTATACAACAGGTCTCACCACTCCAACGGGCTCCTACTCGAACTCGGCAAGGTAAGTCCACCAGCTTCCCCGGCCGCGTGGAACGGACTTGATCCATGTCCTATCTCAGGGGTTCAGAAGTAGTTATTAAGTGGGGTTATAAGTAGGGTAACTATACTTGTAACCCATAGTAGGGGACGTATAACCCCACTTATAATTACCCCTGAACCTCCAAGCTATCTCAGGGGTTCAGAGATCTTTTTAAGGTTCAGCGTGTCCGGCCTTGGGGTTTAGGGGCCTTGGGCTCAGGACGGGGTTTGGGGGTTTAGGGTTTAGGGTTTAGGGGTTTGGGCTTGGGGGTTTAGGCTTTAGGCTTTAGGGTTTAGGGTTTGGGGATTCCCGTGTTTGTACCGTCGACCTCGGCGAAAGCATCCAGCTGCCGCTTGGACCAGGTCCGCCCCTGCAAGGGCCGGAACTCCTCCTCCAAGTCTTCCCTGGCCCTGGCACGGAAGGCCCGGCTGATGCATGCAAAAAGGGTTTAGGGTTTAGGGTTTAGGGTTTAGGGTTTAGGGTTTAGGGTTTAGGGTTTAGGGTTTAGGCTTTAGGGTTTAGGGTTTAGGGTTAGGGTGTTTCTTTTCATCAGCTCCCATACCTATGCCAGAAGAGCTCACCCGACTTATTCACCGAATGCTTTTAAGAACTCTGGTCCAGCTTCCGGCACCCTCGGGGTCCAGGAGCATCCGCCGCAAGCCCGGAAAGCAGCACTCAGCAAAGCCCCTCGGCAGCACGTCGCCTGTATCCGACGGCCAACAGCTGCCATGAGGTAGCACACAGCACACCTGCAACAGCAGGTCATCTACTTACAAAACCAAAAACCTACCCTGGAAGTAAATTCTAAAACCCTAGACCCTAAACCCTAAACCCTTCCAGACTCGACACTGGAAAGCCTAAACCCATCCCCAGAGCGCAAAGGCCCACCTCTCGGAGAACCACTGGGAAGTTTTCGAGGAATCGCAGGCCCTCCTCCAGCCTGCTCTCCACCTGCCAAGACGTCCATAAGGCAGGGCCTAGTCTTTCAGGGTTTAGGTTTCTAAGGTAGGGCCTATAGGGTTTAGGGGAGCAAGGTTTAGGGGTTTAGGGTTTAGGGTTTGGGGTTTAGGGGTTTAAGGGTTTAGAGTTTAGGGTTTAGGGACCCCAGCTTCTCCGAACTACCCACCTCTTCCCAGTGGCAGTTTTCATGCTCCGGAACCGGCGGCAGGCAGCAGAAGTCGAAGCTGTACCTAGCTGAGGAGAAGCTACGTAATGAGGATCCCGTCTTCGCCTGTTTTGGTACAAGCGCGCACGATTGTTTTTGTCCTAAAGCCTTAACCCTAAAACCCTCCTGCACCCGAACGAAACTCTACTAGAGACCCCAGAGCTCTTAACCTTAAACTCTGTTATTATAAAGACCTAAACCCTAAACCCTGTCGTAGAACCCTAAACCCTCAACCCTGTTCTAGAACCCTAAACCCCAAACCCTGTTCTAGAACCCTAAACCCTAAACCCTGTTGTAGAACCCTACACCCCAAACCCCAAAAAAGCGCTATTTCTAGGCGGCCCTGGCACCAGCCATCCATGTCATCGAAGCACCCCTGCGCCGCCCCCTCACTTCCGCAGCACTCGTCAAAGCTCAGGGCCTCAAGTCGTCTGAGGCCCCTGGGGGTTTAGGGGTTTATTGTTTAGGGTTTAGGTTTGGGGGTTTAGGGGTTCAGGGTTGGGGGGCTTGAGGTTTAGGGTTTAGATTTTTGGGTTTAGGGGTTTAGGGTTTAGGGGTTTGGGGCATAGGGTTTAGGGGTTTGGGGCTTTCGGGTTTGGGGGTATAGGGTTGTGGCTTCAAGTACTTTGGGGCTATAAAGGTTTAGGTGCAATTCGGGGCTTTGGAGGCTGAGGTGCTTGAGGGTGAACAGTTTAGGGTTTAGGGTTTCAGGTCAGTTCGATAAACTCTTGCTGAGAGCCCCGCGCGATCTTGAAAGTTGGCTGATTCCCAGCAAAGGGGATTGCCTTCTTGCTCCTGGTGCACTGATGATCCCAACAAGCCCAAAATAACAAAGCCCCAAAACCCTGCAATTCCACAAATTCAAATATTGAAACCCCAAATCCATAAACCCCAACAGAACCCTCGCTGAGACTCTCTGGCATCTACAGACTGTACATTTTGACATCAGTGCTTTTTTCATGTTATCCCTAGTACCAGGAGCTCCACGTCGGCGCTCCTGACCCACTGCAACATGAAGGAGGGCGAAGACCAGAGCGGCGTGGCAGAGCTCGGACAGCAGCCATCCGTCGGGCGGGCCCATGATGTGCAAGGGTACTAAATTCCCATCAACCAAGTACTGACATGGGTTATGGCTGTAGGCACTAGGTTTAGGGTTTAGGGACTACCACTCCGGCTGCTGCTACTTCTTCTGCTACTTCTGCGACTGGTGAAGCTGCTTCTCGTCCTCAGGGATCCATGCAAGGCTGGATCGAATGAAGGCTCCAGATACCGCATGGTAGTAGCCAGAACGGCTCTCCCCTACATGAACGACCTGCCAGCGACGCCCATGGTCAGTTAGTTAGGATGTTCATTTTTTGGGGGGGTTCAAGGCGTGGAGTTTATAGTTTGAGAGTTTAGGATTCAGATAAGAGGTTTGGGAGCTCTTGCGTTTTCAGGTTTAGGTGCTGTCCTGACAACGGCCAGAGTCACCAAACCTCCAAACTCCAAACCCCGAAAGCATTACCCAGAGTAAGTCCCCCAATAGACTGATCCCAGGGTTTCCGGTTTAATGTAGAGGCCTAAATAATTATTACCTATACCAGCCTGGGGGTTCCTCATTATAGTTATGGTCTACTGTGAGAAGCCTACCGCCACACTGCCCTTGTCACTGCCAGATTGAGAAGACCCTCAGAGCGGAACAACCTGCACGATGTAATGTAGGTGCCTTGTTAGAATAGGGTCCTGGGTTCCTTTACAGTAAATTTATAATTTGGAACCCCCAACATAATATAGGTAATTATTGCGGCCCCTACATTAGGAGCGTGCACGAAGATACCTTCAACAAGAGACACGGTCCCCGAATTTAATTCCTCAACCCAAGCCCCCAAAAATCTGTCCGAATGGACACTGCGCTGCCTTCCCATTGATGCATTCGCAGCATCGCTCCCGCAGGATTTCGTGCTACGAGCCTATAGCATATGCTTCCATGCCGCTGGACAGTGCCTGTGACCACTTGTAAAGCTTGAGCGACTCGGGTTGACGATTCGCCCATTCTCTACGCCTTTAGGGCTAGGGTTTAGGGTCTAGAGTTTAGGGTCTAGGTTTAGGGTTTGGGGTTCAGGGTCTAGGGTTTAGGGTTTTAGGGTTTAGGGCTTAGGGCCAGAAGCCTTACGAAAAGTGTAGCAACTTCCTTGATGTCAGCTTCCTCGGAGCCAGGATCCCGGGCTCCGCGGCTCCACAGCAAAAGCGAGTGGGTCTAGAACTCGTAGGCAGGGGCCACGCTGAAATTCTGGGGGCATGGAAGCCAGGAGCCTGGAAGCCGCCGGCGCCTTCGGCACACACTTTTCCAGGTACCTCGAATGAGCTTTGGACTTTTTGAACCCTAACAAGCTCTGAACCCCACCTAATATAGGGGTTTAGGGCTTCAGGTTTAGGAGTTTGGCCCTAACTCCTAAACCCGAAGCCCTAAACCCCTATATTAGGTGGGATTCAGAGCCCAGAGGTGAAATGCCACGAAACCCTTCCGCATCCTTGCGTTTAGGGTTTAGGGTTTCGGGTTTAGGGTTGTATCATAATCTTCATGAGCCCTAAAAGTTCAAGCCCGGGGACCTCCAACCCTGCACCCTAAGACGGGCAAGAAGAGAAGCCTCAATCCCCGCTTCTCCCAAAGTCCGATGCCCCCCCAAGCCACAGATTCAGGTGACAAAAAAAAGATCATGGCCACATGCACACAACCACATTGAGACAGAGATGAACTCCCAAAAAGGTGTGTGTATCTTCGAACTGCAGGGGCACTTGGCCAATACGATGCCTCCGTCCCAAGCTCGCAAGCCCGTGGCCACATGGGACCTGCCAAAGCAACTAGAAACTACGGTATGCTGAATGAGATATTCGAGTACCACAGGCGAACCACCGTTCTTAGAATCATCTTCACAAAGGTCTTGTACTTTGGCGGTGTTTCGAGGGCCGGAAGCAACTTTGGGGAGCTCCGTTTTGTGTCAGCTGAGATTCGGATGAAGGACAGTACCCGTCGAGAAGTCAGCAGCGGCCTCTCTGAATCCACCGGGTCCACTGACAGGATCAAAGGCCTGCACTTCCGGGATAGTTTAAGGTTAGGGTTTAGGGTTTTATTTAAGGGTTTAGGTTTAGGATTTAGGGCTTAGAACTTAGGGCTAAGGGTTTAGAGTTGAGTAGACATGCAGCACTGGAGGGCAAACCGATCATTGTCGCCAGCTCATGTCCGAACAGGAGCATTGAATCCCATGATGCCGCCTTCCGTTAATCTGGAAGTCGCCCTTGAAGTTGTAGGCCATCATCAAGGACTGCAGTTTGGCGAGCACTGCCAGTTCATTTCATTCCCAAAATCCCATCAGCCCGCCTTGGCATTTGTGAAAACCCTCTTGCTGGCACCTGCCAGGTGTAAACGTCAAGAGGCCATTCACTGGAAAACCTGACTTTAAGAAGGGTTTCCGCAGACGCATCCGATAGATATTTGCGAATACCTGCGCTTCCCAGCCGTGCCTGGCAGTGCCTTAGGGACAGCAGTCGGAGCAGCAGCCGGTGTCCTCGCAGCTTCATCGTTTTTGCACGTATGTATATGCATATATACATTGATATGTATATGTATATACATAGTTATATATATATATATATATATACATACATATATATATATATATATATATATGTAGATATATGTGTTTGCGTATATAGGGGTGTATATGTATGTGCACACACACACACATATATATATATATATATATATATATGTAAGCTGTAATGCAGACTTCCTCCTGCTCTTGAACTCAGTCGTGGTCAGGCCTTGAGTGATGCATGCGGGGGCCGAATTCTGAGTCTTACGTGCTTCCCTTCACGGTTTGATCGAATGTCCAGGTGCAGGCTGTCCTGCACTGGACACTAGGATGTGCGACATAGGCTGGCCACTGGACCTAGCACCAGCTCAGCGTGGCGCACCCGTGACATGCAGCGGTTTTGGCTAGCAACCGGCACGGTAGATCCTTCGGATTCTATTCTATTGGTGCCCATTGCTGCTCCTACTCCTACCCCGAGCGCTGCAACTTTTCCTCCTTCTACTTTGCTTGCTGCTGCTGCTGCTGCCGCTGCGGCTGGGCTCTCTGCCGCTGCTGCTGCTGCTGCCGTGGCCGCGCTGCCGCTGCTGCTGCCGCAGCTGCTACTCCTACTACTATTGGTATTACTATTGCTGTGTCGAAAATTAGAATATGTCCACCCAAATCATTACGATTGCTGCTGCTCTTCTAGCGGCGACGATGATGGCTGCTGCCATTACAACCACGTCGGTCCTAGCTTTCACAATTTTCACAGTGGCTGGCTTCGCCTTCTAAAGAAGCCCCCTGGGCCGCTCCCTTTGCTTCATTCTCTGGGGTGGGAAGAGTCGCATCAAAGCCCAAACCTGGAGGCCCAGGGGACTTAGTAAGTAGGTTATAAGCAGAGTTATAAGTACCCTAAATGGAGTTACCCTAATTATAACCTTACTTATAACCGACTTATTGAGTCCCCTGGGCCTCTAAGAAGGAGTCTACAGCCACCGCACAGGCCAGTTATCGCAATTAGTCTTCTTGGACCCTGACGCTGCAACCACAGAAAATTCTCGTGTGTTGCAGCGCGGCCTGTGGCTGAATGGTCTTGGTCACGCCAGAGAAGGCCGTTGTCGCGTACCCGTATACCGGAGCCTGTATGACCCGCACCTCAGAACAAGGGAATCTTGAGTCTGCCAAGGAGCGTACTTCGAACTTGCGAGAAGTCATGAAGCCCGAAAACACCAAAACCCCATCTCAACCCTAGTCTTGGCGAATGCGCCCTACCCACACCTCTTCGTCTACTCAGCCTCCAGCAGCGCTTGGCCTGCTTGAGCTTACATCCGCCATGGCAGCAGGTTCAACGCTGAATGTAGGGCCTTAATAATTAGAATAGGGTTTTGGGGTAGAATATACTATAATTATAATAAGGAACCCGCAAAATAGTATTGGTAATTACTAAGGCCTCTATTTTGGGGCTGGGGTATCAGCTCAAATGCAGTTGTTGCTGCTCTTTCCATTGATCATCTGCAAATTTGTGTACCTATACGTGAATATTAGTAGAGATTATCGTTTGGGCTATCAGTAGCAGCCATCGATGCCGTCGCAATTTGCCACGGTATGTGTCAGGGTGGCAAGAATGAGAGTGCCTTTCCGTCTCTTGTTTAATCATGTCGAAGAGTCTCAAGGGCTGTCAGACGAACAGTTGGCTTCCTATCCTTGGCCTCCCATGGGGTTGCACTTGCCATCCGACACAACCAAGGAGATCACTACAAGCACTGCAGTACCTGGCACCTTGGCAACCTTTCATGCACCTTCGATCACTTGCGGCCACTACGAATTCGCAGCGGTCGGACAAGTTTGTGTGAAACGTCTCCAACGACTGTGTCGCTGCTCGCGTGTCCTCCTAGCACTTCAACAAAGCCACACTCTTGGTCTCTCCAAACAAAGTGAGGGTCCCGTGATGTTCGGGAACCACTCCGGGCCACACAGCGCGACAGTGTCCCAGCAGAGGGTCTGTTGTGCCTGGCAAAGATCAACACGTTGAGAGCGCTCAATCTGCATATTCAAAAGACCCTGCAGCCATCACAATAGTTGCAGGTTGCAAAGCCGCTCGGTTTCAGCTTTGCATTTACTGCGCACCCCCACTTGGAGGTTCATGGGTAGTTATAAGTGGGGTTATAAGTAGGGTAACTATAATTATAACCCATATTAGGGGACTTATAACCCTACTTATAACTACCCATGAACCTCCAAGCAGTCTCAGACCT